CTGTTTCCAGTTAGAATGCCAGACATACAGAAATCTGCTGTTTGATATTTTTGCTGATTCCAAATGTTTTCTCCCTCATTGCTATGCCTACTTCTCTTGTTTCCTCAAAGATCAGCAGAGGGAGAGGAGATGGAAATGCAGGCCACACGCCAAACTCTCTTCTCTAACACCATGTTCTAACATTACCAGTTCAGTTGCTAAATCCTCTATAAAAGAGGCTACACACGTGTCTGCTTGGCCCAACCTCAGGGAGTTTAGGAAGAAAGACGGCAGGAATCTATGATGTGGCAACAGTGGAAACCAAACCATTTAACCCCCTAGGCCTGGGAGAAGGTGGAGGAAATGACTGACACTCTGGGTGCACAGCAGAGCAGAGGTGAGGGCCTATCCTGCCTGGTGCAGAGTCTGTGTTAGTGCCCATATTCAGTCTGACAAGCCCAAACATCTGACCCAGCAGTCTGACTGGCACATAGACATTACATAACAAACCCTGTCCAATGAATCTGCCAGCAAGTGAAAACCAGAACACACCAGAACCAAAGCTATCTGCAAAGCCCTGACCTCATCTTTCAAAATATGTACATCTAAACATTTTTAGGCAACTTGCATGTTGGTTACAGTTTCTACAAGAAGTGTCTAGAGACTGTAGGGCTTTAGGGAGGAAATATAAGCCTGAAAATGGTTTTTGATTTAGTCTTTAAGGTGCATAGCCTTTAAGGTATCTTCAAGGTTCATTACAATTCTTTTGCCACTTTTATTCCCAATTAGGATGAAAGCTTCCTGATGATAAAGGCCAGCATTTCTGTTTCTTCTGAATGCTTGGCTTTGTCTAACCCAGGACTAATTTGGCCTCAGTATCAGCTCATTGAATGAATGATCAACAACATACTTTGGCATAGAAAGGAAATAAAGGAGGAGGACAAAGTGGTCATTTATTCAGGTGCTAGTCAGGTTTCATCTTGGTGTATTTTCTGAGACTTAATAAGGTCCATGAAAGAAAAGATGCTCAATATCATTGGTCATGAGGGAACATGCAAATCACAGGGATATTATTTCATACCCGCTAGACTGGCTATTATCAAGGAGATGGACAATACCAGCTTCTGGTGAAGAAAGTATAACTCACACACATTTCTGGTGGGAATGGAGAATGGTACAGCCTCTTTGAAGAATACTTTAGCAGTTCCTCAAAAAGTTAAACACAGCCACCTGGCCCCAAAATTCCACTCCTAGACATATATATACCTAAGAGAAATAAAAACACACATCCACACAAAAGCTTGTGCATAAATGTTCACAGTAGCATTATTCTTAATAGCCCAGTACAATGAACATTATTCAGCCATAAAAAGAACTCAACTTCTGATCCATGCTACAACAGGCAGGAACCTTAGAAACATTCTGCCGAATGAAAGGAGCCAGACACAAAAGACGACATACTGCATGATTGCACTTATAGGAAATGTCCAGATTCGCAAATCTAGGGAGACAGAAAGTAGATTAGCAGCCTCCAGGGCTGAAGGGAGGGAAAATGCCAAGTAACTGCCGAATGGGCAGAGGTTTCTTCTTGGGACGGTGAAAACATTCTGGAATTAGACAGTGGTTGTGGTGGTACAATTTTGTAATGTATCAAAAGCCACTGAACTGTACTTTCTAACAGGATGAGTTTTATAGTACATGAATTACAGCTCAATTTAAAAAAAGAAAAAAGTAAAGTCAGTGAGTGGTCTGATAATCTTGGTCCTTTTTATTCTCTCTTTTATTTCTTTGCTTTTCTCTTTTCTATTCCTTTTTCATTTTTGGAAATGTGGAACACATAGTTTGGAGATTACCTCGATAAAGTTCGCCTGTTATCTTTGTATCTGAAAATGAGAACAGCTGTGGATCTGTATTTTCTCTACTTGCTTTGGTCACCCAAGACTTTTGTGCCAAATTATTGCTGGCTCATCTTGTGAGTCAGTCTGAATTTGCTCCCTAATAGATGCTTAATGTGGCACATACCATCTACAATACAGAGACTGATGTATAACAAATGCTTTCTAAATTATTACAGAAGTTTTTTCTTTCTTTCTTTTTTTTTTTTTTTTTGCAGTTTTTGGCTGGGGCTCGGTTTGAACCCGCCACCTCTGGCATATGGGGCCGGCATCCTACTCTTTTGAGCCACAGACACCACCCAGAAGTTTTTTCTTTTATAGCTAATCATTTATAACTGCTTTAGTGACGTATAATTGATGTAAATGCAAATAGCTCCAGAAGTATAATAGACTTAGAATAACTTACACATAAAGTGTACAAGCTGATAGGTTTTGACATATGTACACAATCATGAGACAATACCACAGTCAAGACAGTGAACACATCCACCCCCCCCAAAATTCCCTTGTGCAGCTTTGTAATCTCTCCTCCTGCCCCTCCCCACTTCCACTCCTACACAACCACTAACTTCTGTAACTGTATATTAGTTTGCATTTTCTAGAATTTTATGTAAATGGAATCATACAGTAAGTAATTTTTTTGCCTGGCTTCTTTTACTCAGGATAATTATTTTAGGGCTCATCCACACTTATTTTGAGATTTATGCCTAGTTTATTGCTTCTTATTGCTGAGTACTATTCTGCAGTATAGCTAATCCAAACTTTGTTTATCCATTCACATGTCAATGAACTGTTTACAGTTTTTGGCTATTAAAGATAGAGCTGATATGAACATTTGTGC